TGTAACATGCCAAGTGCAGGGCGAAGGCTGCAGGCTGTTTGCATTGGCAGCTGTTCTGTGCAGCGGCAGAGGACTCAGCTGGGCTGTCGCGTGACTCAGTGATGGGACTGGAGGGCAGGCAGCGCTAGGTGGCTTGAAAACCCTCCCTTACATCTGCTCATGCTCCACGGTGAGTAATTCAAACTGCGCAAAAACCTGAAATTTATAACGAGCTCGGAGTTTTTAAACCCTGATGTCCTGAGTTGAGGATTTCTCAAGGGGTCCCATTTCTAGCGGGTCTCTGTGCTCTGGGCCTGATCCCGCAAGCAGCTGTGTGAGAAGAGACTCCATAGACTATCTGTGACTTGTTCCTGAATTTCCTCAGATACATTTGATCCTCAATATTTAATCAGCAAATGCATTTTCAAAGGTTTTGGTTGAATTATGAAGGCAGGAAGTCAAAGCTGCGTCGCTCTGTGGTAACAGGCCTGACAGGGCCTATTTCTCCTTCCTGACTAGCTGAGGGCCACAGAACTTCTGTAGATACTCCTCAGAGTTACAGGGCTACCGGCATCTTTGCCCCTCTCTGGTCTGCGAGTGCCACATGTCAGGCATCATAGTCTGCCCTCTCATACGTGGAAACCAATGGTCTTCCCAGGCCCAGACTGAGCCTTAAGCTACAGAAGGCTGAGGGTGAACTGACCTTACCCTGGAGATCCAAGTGGGTTAAGCATTGGAGGTATTTCTTCTGGAGTCTGTAACTAATGGAGAGACTTGTGGCCAGCTAACAGCTAACCTTTCTTTCTTTCTTTCTTTCTTTCTTTCTTTCTTTCTTTCTTTCTTTCTTTCTTTCTTTCTTTCTTTCTTTCTTTCTTTCTTTCTTTCTTTCTTTCTTTCTTTCTTTAAAGTACAGTTTAATCTGGACATCAGGAAGAAAGCATAAGATGGGGGAATAAGAGGGTTTTCAACCAACAGTCTGTACAGGTCTCTGACCCCAGTCCCTCCCACTCTGAGGCGTAACCAGACAGGCTGAGGGCCATCAGCCTTCCCCAGCCATGTCTGTCCAGCAACAGCTGCCCCATCTCTAGACAGACTCCCAGAGCTGGCAGAACAAGCTGGGTAACCTGGCAAGAGCCCGGACACAGGCTCTTCCCAGCTTGTAGTTCTGGTGTTGTCTCTGAAGCGCTCACTGAACGACGGCTTTTCTTGAGCTGCTGCTTCCCTTCCTGCTTGTTTTCATTCAGCCTGCTCTTAAACTAAGAAAAGTCAATCTGGTTTAATTCAATACACCCATATAACCCAAGGTAGCTCTACAGCAGGGCTACTCAACTTTGGAATCTCTGGGGGCCACAATGACACTCATAGCATGTGCCAACGGCTGCAACTTAAGTGTGGGTGCATATATACGCAACTATATATGCAAGTATTTGCAAATAGCTTCTTTCACACTGATGAGCATGAATACAAAGATTAAAGCAAGACTAAACAACATGCAGGCCCCATTCAAGTCAGTTCTGGTGATATTAATAAAATGCAATATTTAACCAATTTCCACCCATACAACAGCACTTGTAATGAGCAATGACAATCCAGGAATTTAACTACTAAAACGCTTATCAACAGAAGACCATTATATTGACTACTTTTTGGTTTTGGCTCCCACCTGCAGGCCATGGGTTGAACCCTGTGTAAACCCAAACCGCACAGCAGGTCACAAACAAACGAGCTGCATTTTGAGTAGCCCTGGTCTTCGGGAAATATCTTGAGAACTGGGTTTAACACAGACATTCATTATGGCAGCTAAGCTCCGTGTCTGTTCCAGTACTATTCCCATGTGCCAGATATTTAACACAATACAGATAGATATAGATATAGATATAGATATAGATATAGATATAGATATAGATATAGATATAGAGACAAAGCAAAAGATTCTTTTCATGTGTGACATGACATTCCATCTCTGTGAACACTCATGCATGTGACTATGAAATGCACTTCCTGCAAACCCTCATTCTTTCTGAATATCAATAGTAGAGAGTGAGTGCTCATGGAATGAGTATTTTCTAGCCTGATCCCAAGGCCTATTACCACTCCGAATACAGGCTCCTGGTGGATAGAACAGAACGTGAGGGCAACCAGTCAGAGTTAGAGGAGCTACAAGACCTTTGTCTGCTGACAAACAATTGAAGTCTGGCTCGGACACTGGGATAGTTTCAGGTTCTCAAGAAATCCAGATGCAACATTTCAAATCACACTCTAGCCTGAGAAATCATCTCTGGAAGAAGATCACAGGGGAAGGAATGGGTTGACATATGTGCAAATGTTATGCCAGTTTTTTCATTGTAATACAATATTACAAAGCAAGATTTCCTGACATGAATACGTATTAAAAGCCAGCAGCACCGTTGTTGGAATTTCTACAGGACGGAGGAGTGGTAACATAACTGTGTAAAGGGGTTAGAAAATATTCCAGAAGTACTCCAAACACTATTTACCATGTGTTTGTGGAATTAACTCTTTGTTCAGTGAAAGGAGGCATGATACTGTCTTCGGTTACCTGACCAAAAGCTGTTTCTAACATTTACATTCAGGGTCACACAGACAGTTCTTCTGCCAAAGCTTTGCAAGACTTTGCAGAAAGTGTCAGAGAACAGAACTGCTGATCTGTCTGTGTTTCAGCAAACAGCAGAGTGGAGATGCAGGGAAGGGGAGTGTGATAGCGGTTGTATGTAAGAAAATATCTTATTGCCTCTATAGAAAACCATGGTATGCCCACAGCTTGAATACTACGTACAGATGTGGTCACCTCATCTCAAAAAAGATGTATTAGCATTGGAAAAGGTTCAGAAAAGGGCAACAAAAATGATTAGGGGTTTGGAATAGGTCCCATATGAAGAGAGATTAAAAAGACTTGGATTTTTCATCTTAGAAAAGAGGAGACTAAGGGGGGATATGATAGAGGTCTATAAAATCATGACTGGTGTGGAAAAAGTGAATAAGGAAATGCTATTTATTTATTCCCACAATATAAGAACTAGGGGTCACCAAATGAAATTAATAGGCAACAGGTTTAAAACAAACAAAAGGAAGTTTTTCTTCATGCAGAGCAGTTAATCTGTGGAACTCCTTGCTAGAGGATGCGGTGAAGACTAGCACTTTAACAGGGTTCAAAAAAGAGCTAGATAGATTCAGGGAGGTTAGGTCCATCAATGGCTATTAGCCAGAATGGGTAGGAATGGTGTCCCTAGCCTCTTTTTGTCTGGAGATGGGTGATAGGGGAGGGATCACCTGTTGTGATTCCTCCATCTAGGGCATCTGGTATTGGCCACTGTTGGCAGACAGGATACTGGGCTAGTTGGACCTTTGGTCTGACCCAGTACGGCCATTCTTATGTAATTTATGTCCATCACCTGTTACACGAGCATGGCTGAAGTAACTAAAACATTAAAGAGCATATGAGTGAAAACTGACTCTCTTCACTATTCAGCCATATGTGATGTTCACGCTTTCTCTGCCCAGCTGAAGTAACTCTCAGTGTTTGCTTGTAACTTTCCAGGTATCTACAGACTCTTGCATGGGGAGAGGATGCAGGTCCTGTGAGGAGGAAGAGAAGCCTGTAGGATGATCGGACTCTCTGGATTCAGTCAGCACTGGCCAGGCAAAACCCTCTAGAAGGGATTTTTGGGGTTGGAGTGTGTCACTAGGAGCATTTGGTAAGGGAAAGTGAACAGAGCCTAGTTCTTATCCAATTTACACATGTAAATCTGGAGTGATGCGGTTGATGTCACTGTTACTGAATTATGAATCTGGCTCTAAGAACTGATCCCATTTCATGCAAAGAGGCAGCGGCATAAACTAGTCCCTCAAGAGTGGAGAAAACAAAGAATATATATATATATATGTTGAGGCAATGGAAGATGTTTATAACTAGCTTCAATGCAGGACAGATAAATACGATGAGTGTTTTCTCCATGCACTTGCCATGTATTTGTACACACAGGTCCTAACACAGAAGTGGAAGCCCGGAAAGGATGTCTTGGGCAGGTCACAATTGTAAAGTGACACAGCAATCTAGGAGGCTGCAGAACTCCCAGCCACAAGCTATCCATGGGGCTCAGGAGCTAAGCAGCATTCAAAGAGGGACTGGATTGTTAGCTGGATAAGCACAAAATCTAATTACAGTAGTTTGAAAGAAGAGCTCTCAGAGGGTATGTCTACACTAGCCACCCTAGTTTGAACTAGCGTGGCTAATGTAGTCATTCGAACTTGCAAATGAAGCCCGGGATTAAAATATCCCGGGCTTTATTTGCATGTTCCTGGCCGCCATCATTTTTAAATGCCCGGTAGTTCGAACTCACTGCCCGTGGCTATACGTGGCATGGGCTAGGTAGTTCAAATTAAAGCTCCTAATTTGAACTACTGTTACTCCTCATTTCAGAAGGAGTAATGGTAGTTCGAATTAGGAGCTTTAAGTTGAACTACCTAGCCCATGCCACGTATAGCCACGGGCAGTGAGTTCGAACTACCGGGCATTTAAAAATGATGGCGGCCAGGAACATGCAAATAAAGCCCAGGATATTTTAATCCCGGGCTTCATTTGCAAGTTCGAATGACTACATTAGTCATGCTAGTTCGAACTAGGGTGGCAGTGTAGACATACCCAGAACGACTTTCAGCTTCCTGATTGACACCCAAAATGGTGGGTGTCAGAGGAAAACTTTTCGTGAGAGCAGGTTGCTTCACAGCTGCTGATTGCAGGGCTTCTTCTACCTTCCTCTGGAAAATCTAGACTTGGCCACTGGATCTACAAGTCTGATCATCCAGTTTGGCAGGGCCTATCTTCCTATCAGTGCTCTAAATCCAAGCCTATGTTCTGGTGGATCTTCCTTGAGCTCCTGGGAATCTCTCGACTTGCATTGAGAGCAGAAAGATGTCCCGCTACATATCATTTAGTCCCTGTTCTTTTTTTTTCCTCCAGGAACCAAAGTTCCAAACTCCTTGGACCTGCCTGGTACATTATGTCAGCTGTCAATGACACCAAATTCATCTCCACATCGTTCCTTCTCACTGGGATTCCTGGGCAGGAAGACATCCATCTCTGGGTCTCTATCCCCATTGGCTTCATGTATGTTATTTCGATAGTAGGCAATTCAGTCATTCTGTTCATTATAAAAACAGATCCAACCCTCCATGAGCCCATGTACATTTTCCTTTCCATGTTGGCCATCATTGACCTTGGCTTATCGATATCCACCATTCCGACAATACTGGGCGTGTTCTTGTTTAACTCTAGAGTGATCAACCTCGATGGCTGTTTTGCCCAGCTGTTCTTCATCCACTCATTTCAATTCACTGAATCTTCCATACTGTTGTTAATGGCCTTTGACCGCTTTGTTGCAATTCGTGACCCTTTGAGATATGCGTCTATCTTGACCCTTCCGAGAATAACAAAGTTGGGGTTTGTGTTTGTGCTAAGAGGGGTGGCTGTAGTATTCCCATTCCCCCTTCTCCTAAAACGGTACCGATACTGTCGAGACAATGTCCTCTCCCATTCCTATTGCCTGCACCAGGAGGTCATGACGATGGCTTGTGCAGATATTACAGTCAACAGCATCTATGGCTTGGTAGTTACCCTTTTAACGGTGGGGTTGGATGCGCTCGTCATCTTCTTCTCTTACGTGATGATCCTCAAAACAGTGTTGAGCATCGCGTCCCATGCGGAGAGCCTCAGGGCCCTGAACACCTGCGTCTCCCACCTCTGCGCTGTCTTGCTCTTCTATGTACCAGAGCTTGGCCTAACTGTGATACACAGATTCTGGAAGGGCTCTTCTCCCTTGCTGCAGATTCTTCTGGGCTACATTTCCCTGCTAGTCCCGCCCTTGCTTAATCCAATCGTGTACAGTGTGAAAAGCAAACACCTTCGTGAAAGGGTAATCAGGGCATTTGTCAGGTAAAAGGTCTGTTCATCACATGCTAAGGACATGGGAGACAAAACACACAGGCTACAGCTACCATCACCTGTTGCATCCTGGAGCTTCTTCCTCCAAGATCCTTCCCTCCCACTCCTCCTCTTTAACTAAGTCTCCATGCTCTCCAGGTTGAAAGCCTGAGCTGGGTCATGATAAGAGCTGCCCAGGGAGCCAGAGCCTCACACCATCTCTGCATTTTACCTTCTAAGACCTAGAACCCAGGCTAAGTGGAGAATCTGGGAATTCTCATAGAAGCCAGAACTCCCAGGACAGCTCTTACCCAATGCTGGCCTGTCCAGGAGGTAGACCATGGAGGAGCAGAGGGAGGGCCTATTGGGAAGAGATGGGGAAGGGAGCAGAGCTTTGAGGGAAAAGGAAGAACAGGGAAGTGGCAAATTTAAACCAATGCTGACCCCAGCAAGGCAGACTTTGGAGGATTCCTGAGGCTGAAGAAATGCAGCCCCGTGTTGAGGGCTCTTGTTTTAGGCAACCCAGGCTGAGTGGAAGTCATTGGAAAGCCCATAGAGGCCAATCACAACTCCAGGAAGGCTGGTCCTTTGGTCTGGTCACTGCTCTGCAACAATATCGGCTGTCTTTGCACCTGTTCCTCACTGTGGTGGTGGGAGAATACATATATTCCAGGTTCCCAGATAATCTGAGAGCAGAACAACGTCCGTCTAACGTAGCTTTTTTGACATGTGAGATAGGTGAATGTAGCCAGGTAACAGCTGCCTGTTATTTTATAACCATTTTCTCCAATGCTTTGTGCTATTTACTAATAACCCTCTTTGTTCTAAGGAGGCTGAGGGTGACTGTATAGCTGTGGTCACAAGCACCTGAAGGTCAGAGAATGTGGTGTCCAGTCGGATCTGCTTAGGGATAGGCATTTAGCAGAGGTGGGGTGTTTTGTTCCCAGCTGGAACAGTAGGACAGTTTTAAGGCTCCTCCCAAGACAGGAAAGGACCTGGTTCAGAGGTTAAAGAGACTGCATGTCCCAGTTTTATGTTGACAGTCCTAATTATTCTTTGCCTGTATAGATCTTCTTTGAGTGCCAGAGGAGCATCTTGTTAATGTTGCATTCAAGGTAACAATCCACAGAAGACAATGATTCTTAGAATTTAAGGCCAGAAGCAGCCGTTAGATCATCTAGTCCAGGGGTTCTCAAGCTGGGAGGTTGGCCTCTGCTGGGGAGACACATTATATATTCAGATGGAGGGTCATGGGAAGCTATAGAAGAAAAAAAAGTCCTGGGCATATTTTACCCACAGCAATAAACCGTTGGTGTCAGTAGCAGGGAAGATTCCTCTGGATTTCGCTGGTGCTGTGTGTTTGACTGTAGGTAGCATTGTGAATTTTGATGGATTTCTGTTAAGCTTGCAAAGTGTTATACAAAGGGTGATGGATGGGAGGGGTGCTGCTCTTTTCTAAACATCTCAGCATTCAGTAAATAAAAGGTTAAAACCAGGGTATCCAGGAAGTGTTAGCAGTGAGCTGGGAGAACCAATTGGAAGAAAATGTTGAGATCAGAACTGAAGGGGACTCTGTCTGCTGCAATTCCTTTGTGAGAGTTCAAACCAGGAGCTGGGAGGGAAAGGATGAATTGAACCAGACAGGAATACCCATGTCTAGATATGGACTGGATCTTGAAGCTAGGGATATGTAAGTGATAGGGAATGTTTAATTAGATGTGGTCAGGTTATTTTCTTTGTTTTGTTTGGTTAAATTCCTCTGTGCTGAGTCTAGGTGCCCTCTCCCTATATAATATAACTTAAGCTGAATCCCAGGGAAGCAATTCTCTGTGCTTTCATATGTTTTTCTCAGTTGCTCTGTAACACCTAGCAACCAAGTCTGCTTTGCCAAGTGTATCTTTTTGTTTTGTTAATAAAATCTCCTTTTTTAAGACTATGATCTGGTCCTTGTGTCCTAAAAGTTAATAGGTCTGTGTGTGCATGCCGAAGACTGGGGGTATGTCTACACTACCCTTATGATCTGGTTCTTGTGTCCTGAAAGTTAATAAGTCTGTGTGTGCATGCCGAAGACTGAGAGATCAGCTATCAGAGATTACAGGTTTTTTCAAGCTCTCTTGTGGTAACAGAGCTTGGGGTACCTTTCTGGTAGAAGTTTCCAAGTGAATCTTCCAGGCTTCAAAAAGAGTTGGTTTTTTTTCACTTGAGTGATAGCAGCATACCACCCAAGGCCAGGGGATCTGTGACCGTGGGGAGTTTTTAAGCAGTAACCTATAGAGGCAAGACATTTTAAAAAGTCTCTTGAAGGCCCACACATCCTGCATTTGAGGTGCCAGAGTGGGGAACAGCCTTGGTACAGAGTCAACAACATCCATACATGGAACAATTTGCTAGGAAGCAGAGCGCACATTTCATTGTAAGCAGGGACCACATCCACAGTTTTGCTCTTATCCTGATGGATCATTGGCTCATACATGCAACAACAAAAAACTAAGTGAAAAACAAAGTCAAAACTGATTCAAGTGAAGCCCCACACCTGCATGTATCAGTATATGTATTTGTGCATGCTGGAGGGTGGGGTGTGGGGGGAGGAGCACTTTTGAAAAAAGGCGTTCTTCCTCGTGAAATGAGGTTTACCGCCATCAAAAGAAAAGCCGCATTCTTTCGATTTAATTTCGAAAGAACGCGGCTGTAGTCTAGACGCAGGTGACGTTTTTTCGAAAAAAGGCTACCTTTTTCGAAAAAAACCCTGAGTCTGGACACAGCCTATGAGAGTAATTAACCGCTGGAGCAATTTACCAAGGCCTGTGTCAGTTTCTCAATCATGGACAATTGCTAAATCAATGTTGTTGAACGTCTCTGCCCTTTTTGCTCTGGATTGGAGGGTATGTCCACCACCACATGTGATGAAGCCAACTGCAACCAGGGTACGTGCTTTGAGGCACCGCATGTGGAGACAGGGTTTCAGAAGCAAGACCGTATGAATCTGGCAGCTTTTGCTAATCAGAATGGGAGGAGGGAACAAACACGTAAACAACTGAGTCTGAACACCGTGGTGGTTGGAAAACCTTGCATCTCAGCACCTCTGATGTTAAATGTCTCTGGAAAGTTAGAAACGTGATGGCCCATCAGCTCCTCTAACCAGCCTTCCCTCCTCTACCGTGTATGAGGCCCCTTCAGCAGATCCTGGGGGCAGTGCTGCTGTGACAGGCCTTGGTAGCACATCTGTGATCAGCCTGTGCTAGCAGGGAGCTGCAGAGGGTCCTGAAGCAGCAGTGGACGCCCAGAGATTATGGCCGGATAGGCTTAGCTAACCGTGGATCACTGAGGTCTGTGAATAATTTTGGGGATCCCTGGATCATGGGTCCCGCTTTCCATAACTCAGAGAAAAGGGAAGGGCCCTCCCCTCCTGGGACAATCCAAGAGAAGTTTCCCTCTACAGAGCCTTGTGGAATCTCCTTTCTCTGGACGGCACCCTGGGTGTGTGATACAGGAAAGGGGGCTGCTTGGGAGAAACCTGGCCTTATTTATTTATTTATTTATTTATTTTCAGGACGATCACAGCTGAGACACCATCATCATTACCGCTCGGTCATCTCCAAGGGAGCCATGTGACTAACCGGAACCATACGAATGCTGGTGACAAGCCCAGATTCCAGGAACAGAGCTGGTGCTGCAGGCCACTTGTTTAGCATCATTCCCCATCCCCTGGGATTTGGCCTCCTGCCGTTTGCCATTGGCTGTGTTGGGATTAAAGCTGGTGCACATGAAGCCAAGCAGCTGAGTTCCCTGACGGCCAAGTGGTTCCCAAGGGAAGGTACAAACATGGTTCATAAACACAGTGGCCTCCCTATCTGAACACACACTGCCTGCTGCCCGTGCAACCTCTCCAGTGACTCCTTGTGCTGTAGGGTGAAGACCTCCAGTGTCAGTGGCTCCCTTCTAGCAGGAACTGGGTATGTAGGCAGGTTTCACTGTCTGTAACATGTCCTGTCTTTTGTTTCAGCAAGACCAGACTAACGCGACTACATCTCTATTACTATATAACATGCCAAGTGCAGGGCGAAGGCAGCCAGCTGTTTGCATTGGCAGCTGTTCTGTGCAGCGGCAGAGGACTCAGCTGGGCTGTCGGGGTGACTCAGTGACAGGGCTGGAGGGCCGGCAGTGCTAGGTAGCTTGGGAACCCCTCTATTGTCTGTGCCCATGGTCTGCACTGGATGTTCAGGCTTTACAGTAATATGACATTCAAAGGAAGCTTGGAGTGTTAAAACCCCGATGTCCCAAGTCAGGATTTGCCAAGGGGTCCCATTTCTAGAAGTGCTGTGTGCTGTGGGCCCGATCCTGACAGGGGCTGATGGAGAGGAGACCACCGTGGAATGGCCGTCAGCAGTTCCCAGATCACCTCAGGTTTATTTGCTGCTGGAAATTTAACCAGTAAATACACTCTGAAAAGTTCATTTTCTGTCTCAATTCTGAGGGCAGGAATTCAGAGCTGTGTAGCTCTGTGGTAACACATATTTGTTTCCTGACTGGCTGAGGGCTCCAGCATTTCTACCCTGTAGATGCCCCTTGGATTTATAGGGCTACTGGTATCACTGCCCATCTCTGCCAGACCTTGTATCCTGCCCCTCATAGGGTGGAAACCCACGACCCTCCTCCTGGGCCCTGGGCTATAGCACACTGAATTCAGAGCTGTGTAGCTCTGTGGTAACACATATTTGTTTCCTGACTGGCTGAGGGCTCCAGCATTTCTACCCTGTAGATGCCCCTTGGATTTATAGGGCTACTGGTATCACTGCCCATCTCTGCCAGACCTTGTATCCTGCCCCTCATAGGGTGGAAACCCACGACCCTCCTCCTGGGCCCTGGGCTATAGCACACTGCACCTGTTTTTCTTCCTTCAGGGAGTGTCTAGACTACGGGGTTTTGTTGACAAAAGTGGCCTTTTGTTGACAACAGTATACCTGAGTCTACACTACCACCGAGTTCTGTCCACATAACGTCGACAGAACTCGGCAG